GCTTTGGAACCAGTCTGAGCTGTAGATTGCTAATAGAGTTGAGTATGGGTCAGATTCTCTCCTTGCTTACCCCCTGTGTCAATATGACATGGCTTCGTTGCAGTCAGAGTGCGTGGGCGTAGGTCAGCTGCTTGAAAAATGGGGCCAAATTTTCATGAACATTTTCTAGAAAATTTAATCCTGTTTTTCATTCAAAATGTCAGTGAAAAATTCTAAATTTCAGCATCTTTCAACTAGTTCTGTTCTACAACTGTTCGAAAAACATGGTGATCGTTTCACTAATATATTATAGGATAAGTTAGACCCATTCCCCCCCCCCCCCCCCCAAATCGCCAATTTTGAAAAAAAAAAATTGATCAGCTGTAGCCGAGAGTAGAATTTGGTCCCGAGCATTCGAAAAGGGCTAGGGGTCCAACTCAGTGAAAAGCTAAGCACCTTCTCTTCCATTGACTTCAGCACCAATTACACAGGATCAGGCCCCTAGATTTCAATACCTGCTATCAGTTGGTTACTTGCCAGCTCCTTTATACACACATCTGAATCAGTTGTTGTATGAGTAATAATGGTTTAGTCAATACAGCCTTCTGTTACTTAACTAAACAGTGATCAGCTATTTAGGTAAAGTATGTTTGATGCTAACTCTTCTTGCTCAAATTGCAATACAGGGTTCAGAGCATTGGGTATTTGTAGAGCGAGAAACTTCTAGGCTGGAAGAGCTTGCTCTAGAGAAAGCTATTGGAACCAAGAAAGAAGACGTACGGGCAGGTACTTCAGAGGAGCAAATAAGTGTGAGCTTATCCAAAGTGGACATTGCAGTAGGGAAAGCCAAAAAACCAGTAGCACAAGAGGAACCAGCAAGTGTGAAACTGGATACCCATGCAAGAGACAAAATGATTGCTAGTCCAGAGGATTTTGAGTCTGTGTGGGAGGATGAAGTGTCTGAGAGCGAAATCAGAGAAGACCCCCTTTTGGAGGCAGAAAGCCAGCCATCTGAGAATGGCAAAGAGCAGAAGTCCAAGGAGGGAAAAGAAGAGGTGATAACTAATGAACTTGAGCAACTAGCTGGCTCTTTGGAAGGCCAAGCCGAGCAAAATCAACAACCTGAAGATTCCCAAGCAGATGAAAGACCAAGGTCTGAGCCTTCTGGGCCAGAACCTCCAAAGAAAGAAAGAAAGGCTATCGTGCAAGAGCCTGGGTCTGTCTCACCAGCTTCAGATAAGGAAGAGTCCATAATACCTAGCCCAACCTCTGAGGGTGTTAAAGCTAATGTGGAGTCTAGTGATGACGAGACAATGTCTTCTGCTGCAGAGAGGATCTTCTACTTAGGAGCTACAGAAGGAGACAAAAAGGAGAGTAAAATCCATCTCAGACTCGAAGAGGAAGAAAAGCCTTGTTCTGCTGAAAAAGAGGGCCTGGAGCCCAAAACAGACCTTTCAGATGAAAAAGGGAAGAGCCCTGAGCTTGAACCAGCATCTGACCCAACAGCTATAAGGGGAAAGGACAAGTTCCAACCCACTTCCTCAGCAGGTGGCCAAGGAAAGTCAGAGCTGGATGAACCAGTTATAGAATCAGACCAAGCTGAGAAGGTTCTAGAGCTTAGCAAAAAGACACGCCCCCTAGGACATTGTACTGCAGAGAAGGGGGCATATGCACCAGAGGAAGAGGAGTCTGCTGGGTCAATAGGCAGTGAATCGAAAGGTGGAACTGAATCCGAGTCACGCTCTGCAACAAAGGAATCGAGGGACAAGGACCCACAAGAACCGATGGCAGAATTAAAGCTTGGTCCCCTCCCCAGTGAAGGTGGAGAGACTGAGCTCTCTCAACAGGGAGGCAAGAGGTACAATGCAGCACAAAGCTCCATCCTGGCAGAAGGCCTGAAAGAGTCAGAAAAACAGGACATGTGGAAAGGGGAAGCAACTTCCAACGTGTCAGGGACTGGAAGAGAAACAACTGACCTGGGAGAAAAAGAAATGTCAAAAATGGTTCTTCAGATGGAAGCCATAGAGATTAAACCAACCCCCATGAGCCCCCCATGGCAGCATCCTCCCACCACAACAGAAAGTCCAGAGGAAGAGAAACTAAGCCAGCCCACCGTGGGCGAGCCGCCCCAGGACACAGGCCCCACCGTGGGCGA